ACAAATGTGGTGTTCTCGTGCACGGAAACCAACCGACAAGAGCGCTTGGGCCTTGCAAAGTAGGCTGACCAAGCTGCTGACTTTTTTCTCTTATTACACTGTTGTCTGGCGATCTCTCATCTGTAGCGCTTTTTCGCCTCATACTCTCCTCTCCTGCGCTTAGTCTCTCATTCCCTTAGCACAGCCGATTAGGAAGGTGAGTGAGCCCTTAACCTAAGCGTTTTCGACGGATTCTTTTCTTTACTGCCGGCCCACTTCCCACCCATACATTGTACAAGAGCCACACCAATGTGATCCTGGGGCATGCCTTTATTACTATGCAACATACATCAATAACTACGTTTCAAAAAAGTAGTAGTCTCTTTGAAAGCTGTGCAAGCATCTGGAGGGTTATCCTAGTCAAAGCCCAATGAAAAGCATACCTGGCAAGCTCATGAGCTTCCGAATATCTGTTATTTACTTGAGTTTTGCAATTATTTTTTTTAAATGAAGGCGATTGCCATTAATTTTTATTCAGTAAGCACGCTGTTCGACTGGAAAAACTGAGATAGAGCACTGATCTTTTGCTTTCCTTCTGCAGATGTACCACGGACTTTCTGCTCCAGCCCCTCGCAAAGGCAAAACCATGGGCCCCTCTCTCCAGGAGTCTTTTCTCTCAGTAGATTACTAGAAAGTGATTTGACATCAGCAACGTAACTCAGTGAAAAACGACGAGCAGCGATGACATCAACACGTCTGATGCATTAAAAATTCACGCTCCATTAAACGATAGCATCAGTTAAGGGACAGTGTGGCGAAGAAAATGGATCATAGGACTTGTCCGGAAACGGTGCGTTTCCTGAAGGAGATGGAGAGCAAAATGTTCTGCAAAATATACCAGAATAAGGAGGTGGTTCAATTGCAGCGTCAGTTTCCTCAAGGATAATCGAGCCCACGCACGTCTAACACCACAATAAGACATCGAGCTCTCCGATGCTGCTCATCTCCTAGCCATTGCTAACTTATCCCAAAGATAACCCAGGATGCGTTTAGATGCATGAATTTTTCAGTGGGTGGAGTAGGTCTGCTCGGAAAGGTGGCAGGTGTCTTTCTGTTGTGCACAACATGGGCACAGGGCCTTTCTTCCGCAGCATGCTTTTATCTGGTATTCTCTCATCTGTTGTGCTTTTTCACCTATCCTCTCTCCTCCGTGTTCAGAATCTCACTACTTTAGGGTAAGAATGACCAAGATCTTGCAGTGAGGGTTTTTGACGGGATCTTTTCGTTCTTTGTCGACTCACTTTCCATTAATGTTTTCATTTTCGTGTTCGGGAACCCCACCAATTTGGTTCTGATTGAATTTGATTTTTTTGATTTCATCCTAATATGTTGTATAGCACAAAGGGGCACCAAAATTTATTTCAAAGGAACCCCAGAAGCTCTCAAAATCTCTAAGTCTTTCAAAGAATTCAAAAAAAAATCCAAAAATCCAAGAAGCAGTTCGAAAGGATTCGTTCGAAAGATAAAGTGAAAAATACAGTTTCAGGGTGGTTGATCTTCAGACTAGTGTGTCTTCATCACAGACCACTTTTCTGCCATTTACAAGGGAGGTCTTTCAGGGCAAGGTGCGCTTTTGGAAACGGTTTAGTACATGTTGTAGGGACGCATGTATGGACCACAAAACCATGTTTCGTTTTCGCTGAACGGTTAGTAGTACCAAAAAGTGGTGAATAATACTCTTGATGGTTCAATCCCCCGCGGCGACTAAATTTTGCAATCAAGGTTGGCGGCCACTTGTTGGCTTCAAAATGGTCCTGACGATGAATTTGACATCTGATTTTGATATTTAGCGCGATTTGGCACCAAACCGTAGGCGCCAACCCAAATGCAAAATTTAGTCGCCACGGGGGATCGAACCCTTAACAGTACCTTATGCTTTTTTTTGGTACTGCTATAACCGTTCAGCGAAAATGAAACATGGTTTTGCGTTCCCTACATGCGTCCCTACAATATGCACAAAACCGTTTTGAAAAAGCGCACCTTGCCCTGAAAGACCTCCCTTGGTAGAAGACATCTTCGGTAGGAGGTTCAGCTGATTAAAAGAGAAGTTATGATGTATAATAGCTACAGTAATCATCTTCAAGCATAGAAAATAATATAACTGCGAACTTTAGGAGGGATATCGACGAGTAAAACTCCATAAAGATGAGCGTGCCAGCTGGGACGCCCTAATTGGAACAGGTGACCACAATAATTTGATTCACTACTCAAAAGTTTAGCAATCCCCCGGCGAAAATGCACAACAACAAGCAACTTCCATCTAAGAGTGGAATTGGACCGTCTATCATGGACAAAACTTCGTTCCGCTTCCGCTTTTTGAAGGGGGAAATTTTCCAAGGGACCGGAGGCACAGGGCTAGATCTACAAATCAGGTAAAAGTAGGAAGTTGAGGTATCCGATTTCCATTGTGTATTAACTGAAGAATAAATGGCGTCCAGTTGCGCATTCTGTTCGTTGCAACATAAATGATACCACGTAATCGGAACACTAAGGATAAACAAATTGAAAATAGTAGATAAAGGTTAGCTCCCATTGACCATGTAAAGGTTGGGCGAATAGAGACTAGCTGGGTCAACTGTCCGTAGCGCCTAGGCGCCTACTCGAATATATTCCCCCATACGCACTTCATTTTTGAAGAAGTCTCGACACAACTGCTCATGCCACCGGCCTCGAAACTTCCTTTCCACCAGGATCAATCCTACGTTGTTACTAGTAACAACGGGGGGTCGTACCTGGTTGAGTTTATAGGAGGGGGTCGTATCCGCTTCAGTCGCGTGAAAGTACATGTGAGTTTGTGGTGAAAGTGGAGTTTTCACGAGTAGTAGGCTAGGTGAGTTGGGAGCGCATGGGAGAAAAATTCGCCGTTTCAGCGCGCGTATATACCCTCTCCCTTAGAAAATGAAGCAGTGGTATTATAGGT